GTTTACTTTTTATAATTTATCATTTATTTTGGAACTGATTCTTTAACTCAAAAAATAATGATTTCAAATGGGATTGTTTAAAGCAATAAAGTGCCAAAAGGTTGAGAGAGTTTACTTTTTATAATTTATCATTTATTTTGGAACTGATTCTTTAACTCAAAAAATAATGATTTCAAATGGGATTGTTTAAAGCAATAAAGTGCCAAAAGGTTGAGAGAGTTTACTTTTTATAATTTATCATTTATTTTGGAACTGATTCTTTAACTAAAAAATAATGATTTCAAATGGGATTGTTTAAAGCAATAAAGTGCCAAAAGGTTGAGAGAGTTTACTTTTTATAATTTATCATTTATTTTGGAACTGATTCTTTAACTCAAAAAATAATGATTTCAAATGGGATTGTTTAAAGCAATAAAGTGCCAAAAGGTTGAGAGAGTTTTCTTTTTATAATTTATCATTTATTTTGTGGGTTACCTCTGCAAGTACAGGATTTATCATTGAATTACCTGCTTTTACAAACCTTCGAGCTGAAAGCAATGCTTTATACTTAAACATAAGATGGATTTTAAAATGATTCCAACAATTGATTTCCAATTAACAGAAAGTAACGTTGAAACGAATCAGTAAAATGTGTGCGACAACGTATTTCTTTACTAGAAACTAATACACTTGTTACAAACGTGCTACAAATAAATCACGTGTAGCAGACATCAACAAAAAGTTCTGTCGTCTGCTGCATTCACTCAATTCTTTATTTATCGTCCAAGCCATCCTCCGGTACGTTTACGGACTTACAACACTGAGATCGACAGAGGGCGCATAGTCCACTGTGTAGCTTTTTGCTGTGAAAACAACAACCTTTTTCCAAGCCGATTAGTTTAGCAAAAACAAAACGAAATACAAAAATAAATACGAGTGTTCGTAACAGCAGTTTATCACTAGTGAGTTGTGTTGATGAGATAATGTATAGTGTAGTTTCAATCACGGCTGTTTGACATTTTAACGCAAAGCTACACAATAGGCTATCTGCGTTCTGTCCACCGCGGAGAATCGAACCCCGTATTGTAGCGTTATAAGCTAATAAACTTCCCGCTGACTCACCTAGGAACTTTAAGCAAGGGTTTTCATCCATTTTTAGTTACTCGTGGTGTAGCTGATAAGTAGTAATAAAGGTTTGTAATCAAGCACAAAGCTACACAATGGGCTCTGCCCACCACGGGTATCGAAACCCGGATTCTTGCATTATAAGTCCACAGACATACCGCTGTGCGACTGGTGGGCAGTAATAAAGATACTGTAACAACAACAACAAAAACAACGTATTTTACAATTCAATTTTCGTAACTTTACGACTAAACAGAATATGATTGACTTAAGAACTACTGACTGTTCCGCTTATTATACCTAAGTATGAAAAGAATGGAAAATTACTGTTGCGACAAGCGCGAACATTTCGCGATACAGTTAAAGATTTTACACATTATATAAGTAGCTTTTAACTGTAATATTACTACACCGTTTGTTCAAGATAACGATATGTAACGATATTCTTTAGTGTGTCATAATTAAAATGAATTCCCTTTTAAAACAAATAAATAAAACAAAGAGAAAATTTATTATTCAAGATTATTTTGAATAAACGTTTACTCAAGTTTCATGGATTTCGCTTTGCCACTTTGATTAGATTATCCTATTATAATAGTGTTTTATTCTGTCAACGCCACCTGGTGATCGATATGTAAGTCAACTGTACCAGTCAGTAAGTGAATTTCCCAATATTCTCTTGTATAGATTTTTTATAATTCAGTGTCGCGGGTTCGAATCCCCGTCACACCAAAAATGCTCGCTCTTTCAGCCGTGGGGCGTTATAATATGATGGTCAATCCCACTATTCGTTGGTAAAAGAGAAGCCCAAGAGTTGGCAGTGAGTGGTGATGACTAGCTGCCTTCCCTCTAGTCTTTCACTGCTAATTTAGGGACGGCTAGCGCAGATAGCCCTCGTGTAGCATTGCGCGAAATTCAAAACAAACAAGCAAACTGTAATGATGGATTTGATATTATTATTTACCTAAAACAAATACATTTTATGTTATTTCAAACATTTACACTTTATTCCCTCGAAAGTCATCAGTTTGTCTATTTGATTTAGCGCAAAGCTAATCAATGGATCTTTGCTCTGTCTAACACGGAGAATCGAACCTTGGATGTTATTGTTATAAGTCCTTAAGCTTACCGCTGACGTAGTTTCAAAGCATGAAATTATCAAGACTGTGGATATTCCGGAAGTATCCTAAGATCAAGACTGTGGATATTCCGGAAGTATCCTAAGATCAAGACTGTGGATATTCCGGAAGTATCCTAAGATCAATTATTCTTTTGTTTTTTATGATTATTTAATTCCAGCCTTTCAAACTGTTCTAATAATTAACACATTTACGTAAATAGAAATATATTTTACAGAATAATTAGATTCTAGATCGGTTGAAATCTTGATTATTGAATCTAATCATAAATAATTAGGATTAACTGAAATAATTCTTAAAAATTACGAATTTATCCGACATGGTACTCACACATCACTACAACTTCGACATCCATAACATCTTTATCACCCACACCATTGAAAGCATTGCACTCATATTTTCCCGCCGAATCTCTCGTCACGTTAACCAGTTCAAGAAAAGATCGACCCAGGTAAAAAGACCTCGTACGAAGTTCAATCGTTGTACCATGTTTTTTCCACACTATCGTATCGTAGTTTATGGGATTAGCTTCTACCCAGCATTCCAAGGTAACATTGTCTCCTTCAACAGCCCTCTGGTTTTCGGTTAAGTTGAGAATTACAGCAGGATCTGAAAATACAATACTCATATCTTTTCATTGGCAAAATTTGTAGATACAAAAAACAGTAAGCTTAGAACTGAACGATGTGCAAGATAGACAAACAAATGCTCGATAAATTAAGTAATAAACATTCATTCTTGACTTGAAAGAAAACTTCAAAACTATCTTAAAAATTAAATGCATCTTTTCTATTCATCAAAGAACTTTACAAACATTAAAAAAGTTGTAAGTTTACTCATGGATTTTAATTCTAGTTAATGAATTCAAATTCGATGACGAGGAACCCACTTTGAGACTGATAATGATAGGAGACGGCTTGAATGGGTAATGAAGAAAAACTTTAATATAAGTTTAACATAACAGCAAATGTACAACGTTTCGACAAGGTTTTGTCATCATCAGGTACCAAAACCTTGTCGAAACGTTATACATTTGCTGTTAAGTTAAAGTTTTTCTTCATTACCCATTCAAGCCGTCTCCAAGCATTACTAGTTAATAAAAGATTAACTGAGAAAGACAAAATTATTGAATAAATATATAGTTTTTGAGACGAATGTATATACATTGTTTACTTTTGTTATCATTCAAGCTTAGACTAATGAAGTATAAAGGTTCGTAACAGAAGAGTGAATTATATTCAACTCCTACACAAAACATTGAACTCTACTGTTGCATTCGATGTTCCTTCAGTGTTCTGCGCGACACAGTAATAGTTTCCCGAATCTTTGCGACTTGGATCTCTTAAGTGAAGCACAGGCCCTTCCGTTCTCATCCGTGGAGTCACAATGTGACCATTTTTTGTGGTTATCATCTTATCCTGAGTAGGAAGTCGAAGCCCGCCGTGAGTCCAGAAATACCTGATTACATTCGGATTACCCACAGCTGACATATTTACGACTATTGAACTGCCTTCTATGATGTCGACGTGTTTCAGTGTCTCTAAGAATTCCGGTTTATCTGACAGGATAAATTAAAATACAGACTGTTACGAACTGCATTTCGTTTATTCATACACTAATTTCATTGATAAAAAGAAACGTAACAACTTCGTGTATGTCTACTTTAAAACTAATATAAATATAAATTATTTTTACATTTAACATTTATCGAGTTCAACATTGTTCCTACTAAAAGTATATTTCTAACAGTTAAAGGAAAAATAAAAATCAGTACTAATTTAATGTAACAAAATCCTCCTCCTCCGGTGGCTCAGCGGGTAAACGTGAGGAGTTTTAAGGCTAAAATTAGGGATGCATTACCTGCGATGTAAACGGCATAGAATGCCCATAGTGTAACTTTGTGATTAACAACACATAAAAGTGCAATGTTATTTTATATCCAAAAAATATATTTTAACCAGAAATCTAATAAAAATATCTTCCGTCCGTAGCAGTTAAAGTAAAGGAACAGATAGTTCACTGGCTTTGCTGTCAGTGTTAAAGAAATTTACTGTTCAGTCACCTTGTCCTTTCTAAGAACAAATAATTTCAGGTAGAGTGAATTCAGATTTACTAGTCAAAGTATGAGACTGTAAAGAAAATTAAATATTGTAGTACCTTTGTTTGAGTTATTAGTTGGTTTTAATTAAATCTAATACGTCCAAAATACTCTAACCTAACATCCATTAATTATATGCAATCTTTGTAACTTTTTAAAGGGACATCAACTCTTTTGTATATGTTATCTGTATTTTTTTGTGTATGTGATATACGTGTGGAATATCATGTGTTTTTTTAATCTTTTTATAATATCATATTACTTATTATAAATTTAGTATTTGTTCTGTCTATGTTCAGGTTTCACATAACACATAATTCAGAAAGCCGTTAAGTTGTTTTTGTTCCAGCCCTTTTTTAAATTTGTCATTTTCTATATATATAACGCCTGCTCTGTCCGTGGGTGGGAGATTGCTCAGTACTATAGTTTTACAAAGATGTCAACAGCAGTCATCGTCTTTCAGTGGTAGTTCGTGTAACAACTAGGAGTTACGCCGTACCTATTTTGTAATGAGAATGACCATTCATGTGGTTAGCGCTAGTCGCTCTGGGTAAATGCGAGGTTTGTTGCAAACTAAGACACGTATTCTAAATCAGCTATACACCCTGTATTTAGTGTTTAGTAAAGATTGTGCATTTTTGTATTTTACTTTGTGTCCAGTCTCATTATTCCACTTTACTTCGACACAGCTGCTAAGATGTTTAATACTGCTTCCTAATCGATTTCTTGATCTCCTGTTATAAAACGGATCTATCCGATGTAGCACTAAAGTTAATTCAGTTTCACCTACGTGTATATGTAGCACGTATTCTTCGTAACTTTCTTTCTTATAAACTCTAGCCAAAAGTTAACCTTAAACTTTAAGTCCTGCAAAGAAGACTCAAAGGAAGCTACTAACACACCGTAGGTTTACTTGACGTCTCATATTGATTTTACTACAATTTGCATATTCTAAAGCATATTCATGATGTGGGTGATTATTGTTTGTTTAATGATGAGTTTGTAATGCACGTAAAATGAAACCAATTATAAAGCAGGTCTCAATAATAGGAGAATAATTATAGAACATCACCGCTTACGTATTCCAACTAATTATAATAAATCCTCAGATATTTTTTTCTTAGATTAAAATTGAAAAAGAAAAAGAAACAATATTCCAAATAAAGTTAAGATCTAATTGATCTAAAGATCAAATCATAGACTAAGTATTATTAATATAACACATACAAACCATTTGAAAAAGTATATAATTCAATTGTATTAATTCTTATACTTTTATAATAATAACATAGGATGGATGGGAAGATTTGGTTAGTACTTGGTAACTCATATAATATAAAAACAATGTTATTAAAGTTACGTTTAACCTTCCTATCAATTTAGTCGTCATATAATACATCTGTTTGTAACTCTCCAATCGTATTCTTATAATCTACTGGTTTATCTATTTAATCTTATCTGTTTAAGTGTCGATAGATCTATTTTATCATATTTTCTTCCATATGTTTGGTTATCTATCGTTTTGTCTTGCCACCAGTAACATCATTTATATAGCTGTTCGCCAACCAACATGTCTACTTACTTATATATATAACCATCTATTTTATCATATTTTCTTCCATATGTTTGGTTATCTATCGTTTTGTCTTGCCACCAGTAACATCATTTATATAGCTGTTCGTCAACCAACATGTCTACTTACTTATATATATATAACCATCTATTTATTGGTCTATTAATCTTTCCATCCAACTCGTTACATAAGTATATATTTAGTTATTATACACTATAACAGTCTACAAATATTAAACATACTAACATAGAACTGAAATAGTAATGTCATCTCGAGCAGTACTGTCAGTGACGCCGTTAGATGCTAAACAAGTGAAGACGGCTCCATCATCATCTGATGTTACCTTCCACTTGAGTAAGCTGGTGGTAACATACCCTCCATTCTCAGCTCTTACTACTTGCACGTGATCACTTTGAACCTCATGGCCAGACTTTCTCAACGTTATGCGAGATTCAGGGTTACTTCTATCACTCGAACACTGCACCAACATCTAATATACAAAAATATACATCGCTGCTCTCAGTTTATTAGTTTTCGAACAATGTGCAATAGTATTTCCAGAATATTTGTTTTGGCAGAATACGCGCACTACTCCTAGGTTATCAGTTTGCAACAATATGCAGTACTACTTTCAGTTTCTCGACAATATGCAATATTTCTTTTAATTGATTAGTTTTAAAATAATGTACTATATTAATATAATTTTATTAGTTTTACAACAACGTGCAGTAAATAATGTCATTTTTACGTGAAATCAAGAATCTCTGACTAGTGAAACGTCAATGAAAGCAAAGTCATTTAGTTTTTCATAACCTGTTCACGATATGTCATCAGTAGCTTACATGGCTATGCCATTTCTAGCAATTAATTTTTAAAATGGATTATTCAAATTATAATATTTATATTTTACTGTGGTGCTTATTATGTTTTCTGTTTACATGAACATCAAAGTTTACAGAGCGTATAGTTACAATTTATAAAATTTTAAATAACTTGCTTTCCATTTCAACGTTTTAATAGCTATAAATCTGCTAAAACATTGATGATTTTAACTATTTAAAAACGAGAAATTAATCCGCTAGAAATTTGAAATACAAAACAATGTTATGTTATGCAAGTGATATGCTACTATACATTGAGATATATCACCAAGCATATAATTCAAACAATTGCCAGTTTTCTGAAATATGTTAAATTTTTAAATCGAGTAACGAATCTAAAAATCTAAATTTACATCTTTCAAATGAGTATAATTATTTAAAAAAATTGATAAGTTCGTAAAAAAATAATTAATCCGGGGGAAGTTGTGTAAGAATTCAATTTGAATTGACTCAATTCAAGGGCATATTAGGTGTATATAACTAACTATATAGCGGAGAAAATGATAGTGTGTGTGTGTGAGAATTTTAAATACAGGTTAATTAAAACTCTTATCTAGATGAAATGTTTCCTTTCCTCATATCATTAGATTTTTCCTTATTGTTGACTTTATGTCATTAAGTTGCTTTAGTATCAGATAAACGACTGCATGAAATCAAAAATACCAATTAAATTATATACTATATTTATTACAACCTGCAATTTGTGTCCGGTGGATCAGCGAGAAGCGCCATATGACACTAAAATTCGGATTTCATTCCTTGAGATGGGTTTGTTTGTTTGTTTTTTGAAGTTAAGCACAAAGCTACACAATGGGCTATCTGTGCTCTGCCCATCACGGGTATCGAAACCCGATTTCTAGCGTTGTAAGTCCGCAGACATACCGCTGTGCCACTGGGGGGCGCCTGAGATGGGAACAGCGCAGATAGTCTGTTATGTAGCTTTGTGCTTAAAATAAAAACAACAAATAAATAAAGCTGGCAAGTTACTAAAACATTTACAACCAGTGGCTGGTTGTAAATGGCCACTAACATTTACAACAAAGAAGTGTATAATCCTCGATACTTAACCAGAAACTGAATTAAGACACAAATTGACATTTTAAAAATACAAACGTGCTGAAGATCTTTCAGTTCTGTGTACCGGAATGTTCGAAAAAATCGTTAGTTTAACATCAATAAGGCAAATACATAATTTCTGATTTAATGACGAAAGTTATAGAAAGTGTTTTTGAATATATCACATACTATAAAATTCCTTAATCTATGACATTACCTCATCGCCTGCTCGAGGCTGTGCCGGTTGGATAATGATAGACGCATTTCCTGGAGGAACTAACAAGAAAAAAACTTCTGATTGTGGAATACTTCATTTTCAAGCTCTTGATAAGTAGAATACCCATATAATTTATACTACAAGTTAAGTTTTCTTTTTCACAATTTCATATACATATCTAATGCATGAGGCATTTAGTTGAATTCTGCATAAGTTATGCTGCTGCTTATAAGCAGCAGCATAGCGAAAAATAAGCGAATAAATCATGCAGTTTTTGTATTATTATTTTAATCAACATACTTTTGGAAAGGAAAACAAAATAGTATGTTACTTACAAAAGCTGGAGAGATAACTTTGTAAAGTTATTTCGTTGGTGAATTATAAGCAGAAAAAAAATCCATAGATGCATTAAAAAATTGTCATGTTTACAAAATGCTACTTAGTGCATAGTGGATCATTTAAAAAATATTTGATACTTACTGAAAAGTATAAACACATCTTATATAATTATTTTAGATGTACAGTCCTTTGACACTAGGGAAATAATATTTAACCCTAGAATACCCTGTTGACATTTTAAGTACATTATTTAAACCACGGATTTGATGGTTACAGGGTCTGTAATTTTAAACTTAATTATATTATTTACAGATTTTTTGAGCACATTTTAACTCACCTTATAGTAATCTGTTTTTTTTTTTGGTTTTTGAAGTTAAGCACAAAGCTACACAATGGCCTATCTGTGCTCTGCCCACCACGGGTATCGAAACCCGGATTCTACCGTTGTAAGTCCGCAGACATACCGCTGTGCTACTGGTGGGCTTATAGTAACCTAAGTTAGGGGCGTGAATACTATGATAGCATCCTAATTTATTGTTTGATATTATACGGAGGACCAGTTTAATGATTACAGTACAGATTTATTTTTTTTATTTTATTGATAGTAGAACCTGTGACGTAGAGTAATAATACATTCTGTGATTCGCTGCGACCTCTGCTGTGGAATGCATTTTCGCCTATTTGGCAAATCAAATATTACATTAAGTCTCTACGTCACAAATTCTATCTTCAATTTTATCGTTAGTGAAAAGAAAACAAATCTGTAACAAAATCCTGTTATTGTTATCCATTACGTATTTGACATAGAACATTTGTTGGTAAACCTTTAACACTGAGTGTTGGAAATTGTGAAAACAAAGATTGACCTCTACCGGTAGTGAACGGTATAGAATCAAGTTGGTAGGCTAAGAATTAATATGCGCCACAATATTTACTAGAATAACAGTTGATATTCTTCTAAAATGGCTTAAATTATATTAAGTAGATCGCATTTTTTCTTTGGACATATACTTCAGAGATGTCATATTAACAATGGCTAAATGTAGCCACAAATGATAATGGTATACATATCTTAGTTTAATGAGAATCCACTCTCATATTTTGGTTAAGGGGCTCGACCCGAAATCTGAGGGTTGCCGATTCGAATCCACATCATCGAACGTATTCACTCTTTCAACCATGGGGGCGTTATAATGTGGCGGTCAATCCCACTATTCGTTGGTAAAATATTAGCCCAAAAGTTGGCGGTGGGTGGTGTTGACTAGTTGCCTTCCCTATAGTCTATCACTGCTAAATCACGGACGGCTAGCACAAATAGCCCTCGTGTAGCTTTGTGCGAAATTCAAAAACAAACCAAAACAAATTTATTCTTACATTTTGGATAAAAATAATGATAGTGGACAATTCATTAGATAAGTCATAAGGTAACTTATTCAGTGGACATCTAGTCAGATAAATCAAAAGAAAATTTATCTTTGTTCTTACATTTTACAGAAATCTTCATCAATACTACCAGAGGTTGAGGAGTTGCGAGATTAGTAGCTTCACATCGATAGGTGGCGCCGTTATCTTCCCGTCGTGCCTTAATCACCAGTTCGTTTGAGACACCACTCCCTGTCACGCGGGATACCGTACTAATCTAGAAATATTACAACCACACACAATATCTTCACAATCAAAATCACGTGTTAACAAAAGAATTGAATTCAAGACATGTTACTATAAAGTGTCGTGAATGAGGAGAAAGTATCATTTTTTTTCAGAAAATCCACGTCGTACAATTTATAGGACTTTTTCCTGTCACCCTCTTCCTACGTCGCTCAGCTGTAAAGTTCAGGGTTCTAAACCTGAAGTGGCACAGCCCAGATAACCAACCGTGCAGCTTTGCACATACACAAAGCAAACAAAAAGGAATTTTTGTGTTTGATGTACTCGTATTACGCCATCAATGATACTTAGTTTGTCAGTGATTACAGCAGCAACTGTGCATATATTTCAGTTATCGGTGGAAGGTTATAAAAAAGTTGATCTTTTGCACAATCAGGGTTTTTCGATGTGTAGTTTGTCCACTAGGGGGTGCTATTCGCGTTCATTGTAGTGTAGCGGTCAATACATACATTATATATCCAAAGCACGTTTGGGTCAACGTAATTTGCTTTTCATACATTTTAGTTTATAATCAGCAACCACAGCCCTTAAACTTATTAATCTCGAAGCTGGTATTTTAACATAGTCCAACCAAGTTTTTCTAATGAAGAATTCTTGAGTAGCATGAGTTTTATTTGGACTTAAAGAAGCTGAGCTCGAAGTATGTTATCAAATTACATATCACTAACATCTCCCATGAAAAGGAAAATAATTTATTGGTTACTTTTGTGAGGACGACGTATATTTAAAACAACTGAAGCATCAAGTGTTATTTCATTAGGTACGTAACTAGACGAATGTATATATTGTTATTAGTCTGATTAGGGTAATGAGTCAACAGTTTATTTTACAGTTACCTAGGTGAATAACATGCAAGATTTACCAACCTGTTTATTTCCTCGATACCACTGGAGGGAAGCAGGAGGATTGCCGCCAAGGGAAACACAGGTAAAGCTCTGAATAGCTCCTGCTTGCATTGTTACATCTTCATTATTACCAAGTATTGTAGGTTGGCCTGGTGGGTCTATAACAACCGGTATTTTAACTAATTAATTCACATCTACAAAGATAAAGTGAAAGATAACATAAGACTAGGGTAAAATAAATTAAGCGACAAGGTCCTACCTATAGTTGAGTCTTTCTTAGACGAGAGCAATAACACAGCACGCAATTAAATAAATTTTAAGAAAACCAATCTTGAGGACATATTGTTAGTTAGTTAGTAGTTAGGGGTCTAGTCTGATTGGTAAATCATTTCCTGAGTAAGGAGTTTCTCTGCTTCTGAGAAGAAGAAGAAGAAGGTTATGAAGGATTCTGTGTCATTTCATAGTCAAGTACTGTTGCTGCTAGTTACCAAATATTGTGTTCACGACTATCCTACTATTAAAATAAGTTGCCACTGGTCTGATACTCTATTCTCCTCAGCTAGCATGAAATAAAACTGTCTACAACTATACGAAAACAGTAACAAAAACTAAACCAATCATTCAGATATAAAATGATGGAATATGAAGACAAAATGAGGAACTTTCATTCGAGGGTAGTTAGCACGTGTAAACTTCAGTGAAACAGTTATACTTTCCCATAACATAACACGTGAAATATGAAAGGGAGCTTTCCAATCTACTTAAATACCTAAATCAACGTTAGTAAACAAGCAACACGTAGATCAGGATCCGGATCCCAAAATTTTGTTTATTCCTATGGTCAGGACTTTTGAATTACAATCGTTGGTAGACCTACATTACAGTCTGGATGACAACGGTTCTGTCATATTAAAACTAAGTTATTTCCGTATTATTATGGCCAAGTCTCTAAAATTCTCATTACTCTGTCAGTCCTTTACTATAGAAAATATTATGTTTTTTATGACTATTATCATTAGAACTATAAAACTCTCATTATCAATATAATCAGATCTCGATCAAGAGTCCTAGATATCATTGCTGTCAAGCCTATAGAATAGCCATTATTAATATGATGTTTTTATTACAGGCAAGATTTAAACCCTTCTTATTAGTATGGAATAAATCAAACATTTGCTATTATTATTATTATTGTTAAGACTCCAGAACTTTAATTATTATCAAGAACCAGACCGAATATATACGCGTTTCGGTAGAATGTCCGGTGATAGCCTAATAATTAGCTGCAAGTCCAAACGTTCAACATTCGAATCCGCATTCTGTGCAGAACTCAATCAGCTGTGGAGGTTAACCTGAACCTCCGATCAGAGCAAGTTAGAGAAACTAAAAATCAACCTGTAATCAGTAGAAGTAATTAATTATAAATATTATAAAGCATTATTTCATCAGTGGGGTACCCTAGCGGTAATCCAATAATATCTCATGAGGTTAGACCAACTTAGGAAATTAATCTAAGAATGCAAAAAAATCTTTATAATAAAAATGTGCTCAAAAATAAAAATAATGACATTCGATATACTAAATAGTATGCTAATAAAGGTAGCAATGTATATAACATGCCTTAATTAGAGAACACAGAAAACTCATTAAGCCACTCCTACCGTGTAATGTTAGAAAAGAGTTAGATCTGTGACAATTTATGAGAAACATGTTAATGTTTAAACTATGTCGTGGTTAATAGCAGTAATTTTCAAAAAGTACAACCCAAACTAAGGTTTTCAAAATAAAAATAGGAAAATAATATAATACCGGAACTTTCCACAAAAAGTTTTAAAGTAATACAAAGAAACTCAAATGCTAAAAATAATGTGTTCTGTCTCAGTAACAAACGTATAGAGATAGCAACAGGAGGTAACAGAAACATTAAATCTTCTGTAACAGCCGAAAAGGAAACATGATAAGCCTGTAAGAAGTAGAAAGTAATAATAATAATATTTAGAAGGGAAACTGGCCAATAATATGGAATAGAGAGTAATAACCAAAACGTAACGTAACTAAACTAATGACGTAATGTATGACGTAAAGTATGACGTAATGTCATACTTTATACGGAACTGTTATTAGCTAATATTAACTATAGTTAAACTAACGGGAAGTAAAACAACTGGTGGTTAACACATAAAGTTGTCCACTGTTACCATAATTAATATAAAAAGGAATTATAAGTGCAGACATGAAAGTTTCTAAAACTATAAAACTTGTAAACCAACACGTGGCCACAAAATTGTTAAAATTTCCACAGAATGTTGTGTTTAACATACGGTAGCCACAAAATTGTTAAAATTTCCACAGAATGTTGTGTTTAACATACGGTAGCCACAAAATTGTTAAAATTTCCACAGAATGTTGTGTTTAAAATACGGTACATACAAATTTGTTAAAATTTCCACAGAACGTTGTGTTTAACATACGGTAGCCACAAATTTGTTAAAATTTCCACAGAATGTTGTGTTTAACATACGGTAGCCACAAATTTGTTAAAATTTCCACAGAATGTTGTGTTTAAAATACGGTAGCCACAAATTTGTTAAAATTTCCACAGAATGTTGTGTTTAACATACGACGCGTGTGTGAGCAACCTGGATTATGAATATAAAAGGGAATTTACAAACTCTATCTACAAAATTTGTAATGACGAACAAGTTATATTGTATAATAATTCATTTAGAATCGTTATATTTGGAAATTAAATTCTATAACTTCGGAGTTGAAAGTGTCCGTTTTATTCTAAAACTTTAAACTTGGCTGTTAGGTTAAAGACACTGGTATCTAAATCCGGATATTATGCTTTGTTTTTAGTTATAGAGCGTTTCGCTAGAGAGAGCTTCGGTTGATAAAATTGTCCGATTGTGTTTAGAAAACCTGTTCGTTATAAGAATATCATTTATATATATCTGATGTGCAAAACCTTAATATAGTCTATGTAAGGTTTGTATGAAAATTCTAATCTGACTAAATACCCATGATATTCAATACGGTAAAAGTAACAGACAGATTCTGCTAACTGATTGTTTTCCTTTTGGTCAGCAGTTCTAATTATACCTGCATTTTGGAGTCTCTGATCTAGGTGCTTATCACACAAAACACGGTTCTCGTTGGAAATACTAAATACGTTTAAGTTTGTTTGTAGTTAAGCACAAAGTTATACGAAGGTCTATCTGTGCTCTGCCAACCACGGGTATCGAAACCCGGTTTCTAGCGTTGTTAGTCCGCAGACATACCGCTGTGCTATTGGGGAGGAGGGCAATTACGTTTCAGATCTATTTGCGTCGATATCGTGCTTATATCTCGAAACAATAAAAAAATAATTATGAAAATGCTTTAATTCATAACCTATCGAGTGTAATGGCGAAAAAAAATCTTAGAATTTCAAGACTAAAGATATTATTTTATATAAAAATGCAAGGTTTTTATATAGTTTTACAGAGTCCAGGGAAATGTTACACTAAATCCCGGGAAATATTACAATAAATCCAGGAAAATGTTATAAAGCCCAGAGAAATTTTACGCCTATTACAGGGAAATGTTACAGTTGATCCAGATTGCATAGTTTCTTACCGAAAATTACAGTAAATTCAAGGAAATGTTACAGTGAATCCAGATTGCATAACTTCGCGCTAAAAATTATAATAAATTCACGGAAATGTTATAATAAATTCAAATTGCATAATTTCTTACCAAAAATTACAGTAAATTCAAGAAAATGTTACAGTGAATCCAGATTGCATAATTTCTTACCGAAAATTACAGTAAATTCAAAGAAATGTTACAGTGAATCCAGATTGCATAATTTCATGCTAAAAATTACAATAAAGTCATGAAAATGTCATAATAAATTCAAATTGCATAGTTTTATCGAAAATTACAGTAGATCCAGGGAAATGTTACAGTAGATTGCATAGTTTCTCACCGAAAATATTTATGAATACCAAATTACACTTAAACACGTAATTTGTGTCATATCTGTATTAGGTAATTCGATGATACATGAAAAATATGCTCAGTAACCTGTATATGTTTCAACTATGAGTAAAACAGTTTAGTTTTGACAACTTCACTCAACATTTTATTGTATTCAGAAAAGAAAAAAAACTGTTTAATTCAGCAACATTACTCTAAAATTAAATAGCATTTCATGACAATCGTTGACAGTTTTCGTTAAACGAGATGGCTGCTGTTGTTATTCAAAAATAACGATTATAACAAAGATGAGATCAATCAGAAATGCTGTCGATAAAATTCTATTGTTGGGAATGCGTGCAACGGTTCAAAAGAAATTGGGAATATATATATATATATATTTTAAAACAAACAAACAAATATTTTAAAAATCCTCTATCGAATTTCATTTAAGTGGGCATATAATCTTAACAACTGTTTATTTTTTATTAAGAAGTTAAATCGAGATGGTACTTATAAGCCGTTTAAAACGATTATTAAAACTTTTAGTGTTTAATAACAGCTTTAGTTGTCAGAATATATTAAATAACCTATAACAACTGTTTATTTTTTATTAAGAAGTTAAATCGAGATGGTACTTATAAGCCGTTTAAAACGATTATTAAAACTTTTAGTGTTTAATAACAGCTTTAGTTGTCAGAATATATTAAATAACCTACAACAACTTGTTATAGGTTATTTAACAAAAGTTGTTAAACAGTTGTCAAGTTTAAATCTTCGAGATCATTTTTACAAAGCATGCGAAATTTACGGTATTCATTATTTTTATTTATTTTCGTAAATTATTTATAAAGGATTATAATCACATATATTAAGCAATGGATAATATGTGTCTCCTTATGCTTCCTTCTCTGATAGATTAAAATGAAAGAAATAAATAGCGTTCAATAATTAATACTTTTTCCCATTTAGTATTGAAGTTATAAAAGATATTATTTTAAAGTATTAATCTGAAAAGTAACTAAATTAAAAACACTTGATAGACGTTTGAATACTTTGTTGGGTCAGCGGTAAGCCTGCGGATTTACAATGCTAAGATACGAAGTTCGATTCTCCGCGGTGGAAAGAACATAGTCCATTAGACAGCTTATGCGCTAAGAAACCAATTTACGTTTAGTGATTTTCAGGTTCTTTACAT